CATTCACGGCCTAGGAAACACCACGGGCTCTTTGGGGCCCCTCGCTTACTTAAGTGATATTTCTGAACGTTTTTTTTTTCTGCTATACCAAGCTGAGACGTGGGGAGGCTGGGAGCACTGCTGGAGATGACTCAACCCTGACTTGCCAGGGAAGGCTGCACTGATAGTCGAGCGACGCCAGGTATATAATGCGTAGGCACAGAGGTATTCAGAGCGCCCCGAAAGAAGGGAAGCCTCTGGAACAAGATTAAATGAACGGATTAGACAGGGAGCAGCCTCTGTCTTTAAAGTCCCAATAATAACCACCTATGAGGAAACAAAATAATAGCGCTCCAGGAGAGCAAAACTAAAAACAGCGGTCCGACGCGGTCCTGAGCTTTCGGCACACGGCTAAAACGGAAAGTTGCGTTTAAATGCCGTTTTGCTCATAGTTTCACCTACTTGAAATTCCTGCTTGCTCGGGATGATATAAACTGTTCACCTAATTCTGGTGTATTACTTTCACCGCCAGGCATCAGCACTTGTTTTCTATCTGTTCATTAAGGACCGCGAAGAAGTTGCAGGACGGCATGTGCCTTATTTGGGTTGGCTTTGCAATGCACAGAGATGCAGTACCTCGATTACAAGAAGGCCACAGCAGAAGACGAGATGTACTCGCTACGCACAAAGCGGATATTCCCTCGCGTGGAAGAGCACTGTGGCTGCTGCCCCTACTCGCCGTACAATTTAACGCGTCTATCTTACCACTGGCAGAGCCTGCAGAGTCTAAAGAATGGGGCTAAACAAATGAGGAAAAAAAAAACCCAAAAAAATCCTTTCCACCCCAACTGCCAAATCCTGCACTTCTGTTTCTGCTCCTGGGAGACGAGCAGCAGTAGCTCTGGTTTTGCGGAAGCGGCTCAGACGGCGTGAAACCGGAGACACGACTGGACAACATCCATGCAGCTCCGCGCCGTGTGTGACTCCGGATCTCTCCCAGTGCCAAACGCTAAGCGGTAGGTGACCAGTGACAGGCAAAGCACAAACTTGTCCGATCTCGTGCCACCAGCCGCAAAAATAATTCGCAAAACTGCGGTCCAAGCGATGAGTGGCGAGAACCTGGCGAAGCTTTTCTCCTCCTCCTCCGGCTGGATGGATGAATTTTTAAAGATAATTTGCCTTTCTTTTCCAGCAGGGAAAGAGTGGGGACAGACTTCCAAAAATAAGCTAGCCTGTCACAACTACTAACTGTCAGCCGGTGCTGAGAGTGGAGCTGATCTCCTGGGGAAGAGGCTGCGAACAGGGGGAGGAAGGGAATAAAGAGCCAGAGCAACTCCTCTTGCCAGAGCGAAACTACAAAAAAAAAGTCAACAGACAACCGGTGATCAATCAGAAACAACTCGTAAGCCAAAAATCAGCCATCTGAAGTAGGAATACCTAAATGCATCGCTTCACCATCAATTATTAGCGCAAGTGCTACGTTGTGCAGTACCGAAAATGATACTGTACTGCTCCAAGCGTGCTCTCCATCCAAGGTCTCACCGGGACAAATACAAGATTATTGCCTATTTAAGCAAATTGACCCAGCACGTTAAACCAAAATGCTCTCTTTATATTTAATTTCCCAATGTTGTCTTAAAAAGGCTCCCGTCCATGTGGCCTCTGCGACGAACAGACACACTTAAGTCACAAGACGATGAGAAAGGAAACACGTTTAGCCTGTTAGGAGCTCAGGAGCGATTCAGATTGCATACACTGAAAGGTTATTTAGAGAAAAAAATGCAAATAAAGCCACTGAAACTCAAGCCAAATTTGCTCAGTGCTAAACATTTCAAGTTATAAGAGAAGGTACGGACAAAACATGCAGCTGCCTCTTTATTAAAGGGACAAATGCGTAATCTCACGCAGCTGCGGTCTTAGCTCTGTGGCTCTAACGCGCTCCTCTTAGTAAGAGGTCTGAAGCGGAATATTTGAAACCAGAAATCTTATTAAGAAAGTCCTCGTCATCTGGGCTGGCTTTTTTGCTTCCCGCTACATGAAGGAACTGTACTTCATCTGCATACTCTTTGCCAATAACGGCCTAATTTTTTTGGCCGGCCTCGGTCACGCGCCGCTGTGGACCGTTAAAAGATTCGCTCCGCGAGGCTGCAGCACCAGGTGTTTTCCGATGCATCTGCGTAAGACACTAACAGCGCCGTCTTAAAGTCAGGACCGAAAAAAACGCCAACGTGAATTTGCATCTCATCACTAATTCATGAAATTAATTTCCTTTCCTTGAGGTCCAAAACGCAGCCCACGTGCCAGCAGACAATAGACTGTTTTGTTGCATAGAGCCATGAAACACTGATTTAATAAGGCTGAGATGCTGACCGCTGAAAAATACTGGTTTTTCAAACTGCGACCCTACCTAGAGGCCTTATTAATGGCTCCGCCATGCTTCTAGGCCCTGCATACAGACAGCACAAGTGCAGTCTCTGCCTAAAGGCCGTTTTTTTCCCCTTTCTTCATTTCTTTGCCTATTTCTTTCTTTATATTTCTGCATAGCGCGAGCACGCAATGCAAGAACGCAGTAGTGAAATTTCATTCTATTATTATTATTACATTGCTTGGAGCCCAAACCGAGCGTCGCGCTGCTCAAGGGACGCGTGCGCAGCCCAGACGCCGTGCGGGATTACCAAGAGCGCTCCCGCGGCGCGGGCGGACGCGACAGCGCTGCTGCCATGCCACGCGCGAACCCCACCTCACCAGGCAGCGATCAAAGAACTGAACTCGCGCGGGAAACTTTTTAAAAATGTGTTTTTAAGCTGTAAATAAAGAGGGTTTTTTTAATAGCAGATGAGGTTGATTTTATGATTAAGACAACAGACGGGGACTCCAATGATTTAGGCGTATTTCCTTGCTTCGCCAGATAATCCCTATAATACCGCCGGCAAGGCACGCAAGAATTGATGCTGCAAAATGCTGGGGAGAAAAGCAACAATTTTCCTTCACGTCAGAAATTACACTGATAAACAGTGTAACCTTAATACAATTAATAATACAATAAAACTAATGCCAGTAATCCGCTCCTGCACTCTGAGTCTGAGGACGAGTACACAAGACATACAGCACGCAAGCGCTATCTTTTAAACAAGCCCTAGCCTGGAGCACTTGATTCTTGCACAGTAAGTGTTTATGAGTGCTTTTATGAGAGCTTTTGCGGTACCCATTCATATCATGAACAGATCTGGAGATTACTGCCGGCAAGAGTTCACAAACAACAACCCGGCAACGTGTCGCAAGCCAAAAGAGCACGGAGAAAAATCCCAGGCACCACAAAACCACCGAGATAGGAGCAAAAGAAAAGTGTCCTCAAGGTGCAGCAGAAGAGCTGCATCTGCGAAGACCGCTGGAGCTCGAAGGCAATGATTTGGTTATCTAAAAGGGAGTGGAGTGGCTCTGAAAGTCAGAAACTTCACCCAAAAACCTGAGCACAGGTGGTGTTTAGACGGCCGCAAGTAGGTACAGTGTCATCATTCTGCGATATTAACTCCTGCCAAGAGAGGTAGGTTAGGGAGAACCAACATACTTTGTGTTGGTCCTTTGATGGCAATAACTTCTGGCCACCACTAACAAACTTAAGCAGAAAAATATCCAACCGTAGCTGAATTTTCTCTGTTGTTTGAACACACAAAAAGTTAGACCTAGTTATAGATGCTCTCAAAGGTTCCCATGAAATATTAGTAGGGTAGTGAAAAGGAGGAGGGGAAATAAGTCAAATGTCTGAAGCACAGAAGTTATAACAGAGCATTAAACCACACAATGCAGCACAAAATGGGGCATTTGGAAACAATGATTACAATTTCTTCATTGAACTGACTTAAAGAAACTGCTTTCAGGCAGGTGGCAAAGCAAAAATACTGGAGGTACAGCATGGCCACTTTCTAACTTACCTCCTGAGACACCTTGGCAGCCTCCAAAGCCGGAGGCTCCTCAGCTCCTCATTTTCCCATGTAAGAGCAGGATGTGAAAGATGACTCTGGGATGCTGAAGCTGGACCAAAAAACCCCTCTTCTAGTTATTTTCTCAAGTCAGACCTAAAGGGTTGCCAAATGGCTTGGAGGCCAACGCGCATTTAGCAAAGAGAAAGACCGATTCATTACCCTTACCGGGATGTGCTGCTGGTTAGTACTATCTCCCAGTCATCTGCTTCCACCTTTCCAGTGCAGACATAGCAACACATGCATCACAAACACATGTATCGGAGTCAGTGACAAAGATTTTCGGCTACTGAAAAAGCAGTGCTGCACAATTCACAAAATCAGAAGCTTATTTCAAGACAAAACCGCCATGCAATGCTGTCATTTAAATAATGAATGGTTCTGCTCCCTGGCCGGATTTCTTTCTCCTAAAATACGTTTTCTTGCTTTCTGGCAGTTGATAACAAATAGATCTTAGCATTTGCATTTCAAACAAGAAGATGAATCCAGATCGTTGCGCCAAAAGGACTGGCAAAATGTACACTCCGATATGCACAAACTTATCAAAGACATCCAAACTTTGCCACTCGGGGAATGCATTAGTCGTCTGGCAGGAGTTCGGGAAGAATCCCAAATTTGCTTCGGCTATGTGGAAACTAGTCTTCTCTTCCATTTGAAAACGCTGTTCAGCCACGTGCCAGCTTGCAACGCCTGTTGTGGCGCTCCGATGAAATTGGAGCACTTTGTTCTGCTCTGTCCCTCAGGATCTGAAGCAAGAGAGGCCACATGTCTTTTAGTCTGCGATGCATAATTCATGATCAAAAGGGCCCAAACAAAGCCTGAGATTTTGTCAGCACCAGCAGTCACTATGGAAATCACAGGCACACAGTTCAAGCCCAAAAAAATGCCCGTTCAGCCATCGTCAGATATGCCCAACGCTTTATGATTATTCAGTGTAATTACAAAAGCTAAAAACCAGCTAAGTAGCTATCGCAGTTTTTATTTGCAAAGAATTAATATTTTTCTGCTACTTGTCCGAAAGAGAGGTGGTCGAATGTGGCAAAAAACCCTAATTTCAATGGCTTTTACCCTAACAGGCAGTGGGTGAATTTTCAGCAACAGATGTGGTAAGGAGATAAAACTACAGCACATATGTGGGGCAGCAGGAAAAAAAAAAATAGCAAACTCGTGCAGATTTTTGGACAAGTATGTGGCTATGCTTATCAAGCTGACCCATCAAGCGCACGGTCTGAAAATTTTACTTGAGCTTGCTGCCTCGTGGACTCAAAATAAGTCCAAATTCCAAACTGTCTCTCTCAATTTTTGCAATTGAAAAAGCACTGGAACAAGTTGCCCAGAGAGGTTGTGAGGTCTCCATCCTTGCAGATATTCCAAAACCATCTGGACATATCGCTGGGCAACGTGCTCTAGGTGACCCTGCTCGAGCAGAGCGGTTGGACTAGATGATCTCTAGGGATCCCCTCTCCAACCTCAACCGTTTTCTGTGATTCTGTGATTTTTTTTCTTTGCGGAACATGGACATTTGTCGGAGAAGGCGCAAACTTGAAGGTTGCAGCTGTGGCAGGCTCTGTTTCCTTCCCAAATGGAGTTGTGACCAAGCCTCCTGAATTATAAAAACTACCTCAAAATAAGGCTCAGCACCCCTTAGCTGTGATGCCTTATCAAGCTAATTAATAACCAAAGAAAACAAAGAAAACACAGGAAAGAAAAAAACTGCTCAGGGATACTCTCATATTTTTATAATCTGAGGATTATGTTAAACACGGTTGCTCCACTGATTTGCTACCACGTCAAAGATCAGTCAGGCAGCGACTGTGTAATCTACAGCACATCCCGGCTCTTAAAACAGTGGTGCGCGATAAATAACACGTATAAGGCGCGAGGGTAAGAAATCAGCCTGGGAAAGCAGACGTGCATTAATACAGTTTCAAATATGCATACACAGACAATATATAGCTTCTCACACATCTCCACAGAGGACTTTCACCTTAGATGGTGCAAAAAATTGAGGGTGAAGGAGAATGCCTATGCCATTTTATCACTTTGTTTCTCAAAGAGTATCCCTACAAAAAGAGAGAAAATATTCAAATTATTCACTTATTTTTTCTCTTTTTCTGAGTGTCCAGCAATCCCTCATTAAATCATTTTTCATCGTACTCAAAGTGACCAATAAATCCACCATAGGCTAATTACTAAGATCCTCCCACCTGCAAATAAATCCTGACTGCTGCATATTTCCAAGCACAAAAGAATATTAAGAAGCAAAACCACAGTCTTTCAGGTTACACTGAAATGAGCGGAGAACTAACCTTCAAAATTATTTTAACACATGGGGAATATGAGGACCACAGAAGCAAGCCACAAGAATACAGACACACCTGCGGAAAAATACTGCACTGAGAAAGCTCTGCCAAAGACTAGCAAAAACAAAACTAAGGAAATTAACGTGCAAGGAAACCGAGATTTCCTATCCATACTTTTTAAATAGTCAAGATATTTTTCGGAACGCATTGATATATACGAAGGCTGGTGAACTCTATGAGCAGAGGGTGGGATGAGATGGCCTCCAGGGGTCCTGTCCTTTCAACCTGAAATGATTTTATGGAGAGGAACTGAGTACGTTATAGGACAAAGTATGGGTGCAAAACGCCTAGTGAGATGACATCTTCCTAGATACTTAAATAATGCATAGCGCTATGATGCAACGGTCACATTAGGCAAATTTCTGCCATGCTCGAAGATTCTATGAATGTCTGAAGTTTTGCTCATTTGATATATTAAACTCATTTTTATGCACTAAGGCAACCTTTCAGAATTAAAAGACCTTTCTTAATATCATATAAAACTGATAATTCTAATGGTCTTTCAAATATAACTCCAAGAAGAGACTCAACTCACATATCTTCAAGGGAAGCAACTGAATTTAGAGGCAATGATTTATTCCTAATATTCCAGTTTATTCCAGAATGTAACACTAATTCTAATGTATTATACATGCAAAAATGTAACAGTGATGTCTATTTTTTGAGCAGAAGTACCAGAAAAAGGCAAAGAAATAAAACCACAAATCTGTCTGCAGCCTCATACAATTCTGCTGTGCATTTATGTCTATAAAAATGTGATAATTCACAATGGCCTTTGCATTTTCTTGTAAATTAAAAGAAATAAATACCAACAAAACTTGGCAAGATTCAGAACAGGTCTCCCTAAACTGTAATCCTACAGCAAGACACACAGATAACATCCCCAAAGAGCAGTTATTAAAGAATACATGCAGAAACTAATCCTATCATTAAAACTCTGAGGACCAAAGTCATCATCACAGCTGGCTACAATACCCCAAAAATGACAAAACCCACCTAACTGTCAGAAGTATCTGATATCACAACCCTTCCCAAACCAAGGAGGGCATAAAGCACACCTAGGTAATAAATCCTGCCTTGGTACACAAAATGTGGTATATTTTTGTGCCTCTGTGTGTGTGTGTGTGTGCGCGCGCGTGTGTATTTATATATATATTTATATATGCAGCATGAATTAAAGACAGAAAATCCCATTGACTCTTGCCACGTGCTGTGAAAATCACGGCCAATTTTCCCACGCTCCTGTTTCTTCATTGCTTGCTGCCTCTCTCTACTCCAGGGAGGTAAACTCGAGGCTTGCGTGACAACACGAATCATAAAACCTTTTTCTTTTTTTCCTCTCCTATGTAATGAGAAATGGTGGCAGGAAGGAGTTCAGCCTGAAATAAAACAGGGGCCGTTTCTGAGATGTTCTGCACGCAGCTGCCGTTTGGCTGTTTTCAGATTACTGCACAAGGGCCCTTTCAGCCTGCGAAAACGGTCACACGTATAACACGATCCCAAGGCTGATTACTCGGTAAAGCAAACGCGATGCGTTCAATCAGCCTCAACGAGGAGCTTATCAGAAGTCTTTAACCAAGAAAGAGAAAGTTATTTCGTGGATTAACCTCACTCACGGGCTGCGCACCTGGGCAAAAGCATGCCTTGCTTTCCAAGTTCGGGTACAAAAAGGCACATCCCGTGCACCGCACTGCTCTGGAGAGTCACTTCTTCTTTTTTCTTTTGCTCTCCAAAAAACGCCAGTCCCAACATGACAAAGCACACAAACAGGCTCCACTACAGGCCTTGCAGAACTGCGGCTTTTCCGGAGGTAATCATTTTTTTCTATTTCGTTACCTAGAGAGTCAGCCGGGGAACGGAGCGACTTTCCTCTCAGGATACAGGCATATCTTTAAAATGTGCTTAATGGGACATAATGTAGTTCTGACTCTTACATTTGACAGAAAATAAGAATTCGGCTGAACATGCTCTACTTTTCAAAATGCATAAGGTTGACAGGAGCAAAAGCAAAGCAGTTAGGTACCTATGATGTCATCTCAAGCCTGCTCGGAGAAAGCACTGGCAAACTAAGATACAGGCAGTAAAAATGAAGGTGGTGGTACGTGCCTGGCCTATTCAAAACCTCCTAGGAAAGGGATTAGGAATGGAAAAGGAAAGACTTGTACATTCGTCTTTGGTTCTGAGCTTCCCGAAATGTTAGCAGTAATAGCTGCCAGACGTCAGTAGGCTTTCAATCCCACCACCAAGAACTACCCAAACGTATCATATGCTCTTCAACCTTCTCAGTCAAAAGAAAAAAAAAAAAAAAAGAAACCCTGCACATACTTTGATATCAACTGTAACATGAGAAAGGTGCTCTCTCGCATAGTCTACTCATTTGGGAAGCTACGTTGCCTAGGAATTAGTGAGATTGCCACTAATGAAGTCTGAGTAGATTAAAACGAGGAGTTACTGCGTTAAAGATCGGACAGCACCAATCTTAGGCGGTGGCAATCTTAGTCTTGCATGACATCTGGGCCACCATTTTCTATAAAAAAGAACAATTAAGCCACTTTTCCTTTGTGTCTACTTAGTTTGGAGACAGCCAAATTAATAAATAAGCAAACGGAACTACTCTGCAATTTAAACAGCATTTTTAAACGATTAAACTTTTGTCACCTTCTATCATATATTGTTTTTTTCTGTTTTAGGCTGGAGCAGTATCTCATGGGTAACAAGCTGTCTGTCTGTCTCCTTTTTTTCCCCTTCTCCTAGAATAAGTGTCTGCAGCAGATGAATTATCAAGTTACTAATAAACATATTCAGCTTGCTACATAAATTCAATTACAGCTAATGAGCTCTAGATAAAAGCTACCGAACTACAACTGATATTCTAATAGCCTGCATACAACAAGCAATGATAAAGTGATCCAGACTAGGGACAAGAAAAGAAAAGCTTATTCTTCCTCGAAAACCAGGATAAACAAGATTTTCTGGGGAAATTATGACAAAGAGGTAATTCTCAGTATCTATCACATTCACTAATCTAATCCATTTTTCATAAAATTCCAGGGAAAGTTCAAGTGGTACTCAAAATTTTCATTCTTCGTGTTGTCATTTCACTGAGATCTTTACAAATAAAAGCTTTTACTGTTTGTTAAAGCTGAACTTTGTAACGCCACACGGATGCACTGTAATATGCTACACGCTTGCAGATAGATAGAAACCTAAGATGAAGCCAGGCCTGAAGGCACATTTTGGTAACTTCAGCAATTTTAAAAGTCCATAGTGATCAACCAAATAAATCCCAAATATTAGAAAGCCAGGAAATTCGGATTTACAGTTTAACTTAAAGGAAATGAAAACATTAAAAGCACAGACAGGAAGAAACGAAGTCCATGGAA